TTTCTAAAAGAACATCTAAATTCGAGGATATTCCTATCGTACGTAACAGTCCCCGACCCAACATGGGGTCTGATTAATACTAGAATTAACACTAAATCATCGAAATGTAAAATTTGCGGCGAAGAAATGAAAATGAATGGGAAAAGGAACAATTAGCAAACTTCTGTTTATATATTTTACTAAAGATCATTCGAGTCTCTAAAATATACGCTAAATGTATAAAATTTCCATGAAAAAAAATTCTAAATTGGTCGTTTCGACCATTTTTGGTTGTTCCAGCGTTGAAAATATCATAATTTTTGGATAAAAATACAAAAGTCTAAAAACAGTTATTGCAACAATGCATATACAAGAGCCGAGAGTGTTTTCAAGCCGATTCCGCCGTGGTTGGGAATTTTCATGGGGCGCTCGTTATCGCGCGCGAAGCCTTGCGTCACCGCGAGCAGCCGAAGCGATGAAAACGCCTCACACCGTCGCGTCGGAGTCGCGATAATTTTAATTTCACTGGGCTCGATTCGTCGTCGCAGCTGCGCAACTCGCGCCGCGGATGGAAACGAGCAACGAACAGCACGGGAAGATAGGAGGGTCGGGGAGGAGAGAAGAACGCTGTAAGAATACGATTCGCCGAGCGTCCGCGAGAAATCCGCGTTTTAAGTAGTTAATTATCGCGCGAAACCCCTCTCCCGAAAACTCTGACGCGAAATCGAGGACCATTGGTTCCACGAATATGTATATCTTTTCTCATCTATTATATATCTTTTGTTTTTCAACGCCAGATTTGTAAAAATGGCGTAAAGATCGTCGAACATGTACATTGTCCATTTCGTTAAAAAACAGAAATTTCTGCCATGCGAGATAAAAATTACAAGTTAATCGAAAAGTTCGTAGAGTGTTTTCGATAAAAAAAAAAAGAAAAAAAAAAATCGTCTACAACAGCCAACGATTAATATGTAAAATTTCCATTAGAGACATTAAGGTAAAAGAAATACAATAACTTTATAATACTAATAACAGAGTGCTCAAGCTTCTATTTATACATTTTACGAAAAATTATTTAAATCGCTGAAAATCCACTGTTTCGCATGTACAAACTTTCTAACGAAAATCATAAATCGATCATGTTTCGGTAGGGCTAAAACAACTCGTAATCAGTACTTTTTAAAATTACCAATTTCGTGGTATCAAAGGAAATAGTGTTTCTTTAATCCCTCGATATTTTGTCCCGAACTTGCATCCCAAAATTCACAATCCTCACGATCGAAATTCATCGATTGTATCAGGAATGGCGTTCGCAGGAACGAACGGTAAAAATACGAAAATACGGCGGGCTTAAGTAGAAGCAGCCGGATGGCTGAAACGTTTGAAAGATTATCAGGGCGCGCGCGGCCGCGCCAGCGTCCAGCACTTGTTCTATTATTATGATTCACACTGCGCACGATCGCCGGTGTTAAATGGCCACGCTCGTGAACCCTTACAGCGGTCAATTAGTCGCCGTGCATTAACCGGCTCACGTTGTCCGGGACTTTCGAGCGGAAGGTAATTAAGCTGATTACCAGCAGGAATCTTTTCGCGTATGCCCGTCGCTCTCAGCGTTCCATCATCGTCGTGTACGAGGGCCCGGTGTACCGCTTCCTGTACGCGGTCTCCAAACGAGCGCAATATTTCTCTGCCTATACGCATGCACTCTGTCTCTCTCTCTCTCTCTCTCGACCATGTCCGTGCTGTGAATCGAGCAATTTTCACTCGACGCTCGGAAGGGACTTGGATCGGTTGAAGTCGATCGGTCAAAGTGGAAAGACGCTACGAACAGGGTCGGAGAATACCTCGTGATATTCTCTGATCTTTGTTTGTCTTTTCGAAGAACTTTCGGAGAATGTTCGTGCCTTCTACAGGAAGCTGGGAATCTTCGTCGGGGAGATGACTAGAATCTGCTGGTAACATTTCTCGGGAAATTTTTTTCCTTGACAGAAAAGCTGAAAAGTGTACAATTACGGAGCAGAAATATATAATCTATCTGTTTCGTCAGAATAAAATTGCCAAAAATCTACCAAAAAACATACGTATTCTCTTTCTGTATTTATATGTTTACACAAGGTTCGATAACGAAAAAAGGGAGCGGAAGAATATTTACATAGAGATAAGAAGAGAGAGAGAGAGAGAGAGAGACGCCGATGGCGGTCGACAAGCTGCTCGAGAAGGCGGTGACAAATTTTCGGGCCGGAGTGGTTCGAGAGTGTGTCCGAGTGCCGCGGCGAGCTAGAGGAGAGGGCGCTACAAATTAACGCGTGGTTAATGACTCGTGGAAAGGGGTGAGCAAGAATGTAGCGAACCGAAGAGGTCGGGCTATCCCGTGAAAGGGAAAAACGCTTGAATACGGTTTGAGGCGGGGGTTGCGCGCGTAAGCCGGCCACCTCCATGAGAACTTGAGTGAGCCAGGCCTGCCTACTGGCGTAATATTCTCGGACGAGGGACACTTTCCGCGCGTGGAGTCGTTGCACACACGGCTTCCTGGTCGATAGAACCGGCGGTGCAAGCTGCACGCCGGTGCAGATATCGCGTAACTCGATGATTAGCAACCAACCCCACGACGACGACCACGTCTCTCCACGTCCAACGTTCAACGTCCACGACGTGGCAAAGGGCCCCGGCCGCGTGTGTGTCCGATGCTTCTGACCCCGGTTGGACAAACGGTGAACCGTGTGATCGCGCGCGCGCACACCCACGGATCGATCGGTGTGCCTCTCTCTCTCTCTCTCTCTCTCTCTCTCTCTCTCCGTGTACCCTTTAAATTTCGTAGTGACGCCTCGCGCGACTAATTGGTCGACCGGTCGATCCTCTTCGGCCGTCGGCTTGATAAGGAGGTATTGTACGCTCATGGAGCGTAATAGCCGCGCTCCTGCTGTAATTTTCAACGTTTATCGACGTTGCTGCAACCGTATCCACCGGTGTGGACACTAGTAAAAGTGCTTTTGACTCGCTTGGCGGCTTGTCGTGGATTTCGACGACGATGCCAATTTAGAAGCTGCGTTGGACGAGACCCCCTTTATCCACCGGCGATGAAACAAATTTGTTTTAAAACAAATACGATATTCACCCTTTAATTAATGACAAAGAAACGAACATTAATTAAAGAGAACGTGAAACGTGAATTTGAAAAAAAAAAAAAAAAAATAGAAGCGCAATTCCAAACACAAAAATTGGAATGAATAGTGCGTGTATAATGATCGAAAGTTTCGTCGGCTGGTAAAACCACGAACCTCCGCGCCTACCACGGCGGCAGAAGTTAGTTGCGAAATTAATGCATTTTAATTTTAGCGGCCGAGAGGAAGCCCGTTTAATCGAATTTAGTTGCGCAAGGATGTATAAATAACCGTCGCGGAAACTTCTCCCGCTTTCTGCCGCGCGAAGTATAAATCGCAGATCACGGTTCAAAGAAAGGCGTTGATCGGTGAAGTGCTTTGAGGCGACATTAGTCCAGCGGAATCGAGTCGCTGGACGAAACGGAACGGACAGACGCGCGCGACGTGATCGACACCTCTCTTCCTGTTTTCGAACAAACGGATATTAACTGGGGAGAAGGAGGGCGACGCAAAATGCGGAAAATCTACCCGTGGACAACTTCCAGACGCCCTTTTATCTCGTTTACGTAACTTGTAAATGACGCTCATGCATTTGCGCAAATACCTGAGCCCGCGCAGTATAGTTGATTCTGATAGATTTCAATCGACAATAAACTGATTTAATTAACCACTCGTTCCGACGATAATTTAGCTTTTAATATTCGCGAAAGTTGCGGCCTTTTAATTAGAACCGTGCATTTTTGGTGCGACGAGCGTTTAACCTCTTGCCACGCACGTCGAGAATTTGTTGTCCCAAATTGCAACATTTTCTCAGTTTTAAACATATTTGAAATATAACCGAGGCAAAACAAATGATAAGTTTGTTACTTTTTGATAATTTCTATTCCAGCGATGTCATACCGACGAGTTCGAAAGAAACAGAAAGCGACGAATCATTGTGTTCGGTCACTCGTTATGGTCCGCGAACCAGTTGCCAGCGCAGCGGGGTTAAATTTCCGCGCGGTGTGTATCTATTCGCGCTGCCACGTTCCACTGTGTGAATGGAGGGGGTGAAAAGAAGAGAGGAGGATAAAGAGAAACCGAAGGAGAGGGTGATAGAAAAAAAAAAGGAAGAGAAGAAGGGGAAAATATACGATTAAACAATATCGACTGATCTACAAAGCGCATTAAAAAGCAAATAAAGCGAAGTAGAATATTTTTCAAACAAAACTGCTGATACTTCGGTTTCGTCGTATTTCGTTTTATTTGGGAAACAATATGTAGCAAGTAACCTCGTTCTACGATTTGATTGTTTAGCTAGAATTTCGACTGTTTCCAGATGAAGTTAAGACAGACTACGCCTGTAGATTTGCATCTTTTATCCTTAAAGCTAACACAGCGTGGAGTAGAACGAGAGGGTGAACGAGCAGACAAGTGACAAAGTAGTTAAACGACCGACGGCAGCCTGATTTCCCTAGCTCTGAAGGAGCAATTGACGAACTTTATCGGGCCGGGATTTCATCTTTCGACTATTCCGAGTGTTATTAATCGCTTGCCACACGAAATACACGTCGGAATGGTACAAAGAAACACTACATTATCGAATTTAGTTAATAGCTTGAACAAAATAATTTGAAACGAAAGTAGGAGGCAAATAATTTTTTTTTTTTTTTTTTTTTTTTTGACAAAGAGCAAGGGAAGAGGAGTAGAAAAAGTAGAAGAAGACGATAAGAGATGCTCGGGGTACGGCCTCGGCCTCGGTCGAACAACGCGCCGCGCCGATGACGATTCTCTCAAGTTCCCCGAGTTTATCGGCATATCGACAAACAGAAGCGGCTTTGTGCCCTGCGAACAATGCTCCGCCCCGGACGTTCCACTCTCTTTCTCTCTTTTACCCTAGACACTGGCGATACGTGTATGTATCTCTCTGTGAGCCGGCCGCGCGAAATTAGACCGTTAGTTGTAGGTATCAGACCCGAACTCAGGTCGTTTCTCTCGCTTACCTTTACACCTGTGGCAACACTCGTCCTCCCGCGGCTCCAGCAACGTGTAGCAACCCTCGATGCTGGGGCACTGCTGCTTCCTGCACTCGACGAAACCATTCTGCGAAACAAAAGGCGAAAACAGTGAGTCGTTTGGATCGGTTGGCTCGATCTCCGCGAAGCTCGCGACTGCGATCGTCCGTAATTACATCTCTTGTCGTCCACGTTCGTTATCGCGCGCTCGGCCTATAATTAAACCTTTGGGATTTATCGGATTACGTAAAGCAATTGACGCTTTCCGCGGGTCACGGATAGCCTCGGTGACGACAGCGGCGAGAACGCGAGAGGAGGTCGCGACTCTCGAAAATAATAAAGATTATCACCGCGGAGGCGAGGGCAATCGTTCGTCAACGAGGCTGAGAGTAATATACTCGCAGTAAGTGAGTCTTCCCAACTGCACGAACAAGCTCAAGCTCGACGAATTCGACGTCCCGGCGTCTGACGGTTCAATAAAATTTCGCCCGATCGACTCTTCGCTTTACTTTTCGATTCAACGACAATTGTGCTGTAATAATTATCGACGTGTAATGGCCGATAATTACGGACGACGATAGTCGCACGGCGAGCGTTCAACGATGGACGATAACTATAGAGGATGGTTCGTTCAAGCGAGGCCGTCTATCTGTTTGAATTGCGAAATGGTGTAAAAAATATTTTTTGTCCAACACGAATGGTAATTCAAAAGGCTAATAATACTGGTAAGAATATTTTTCTCAAGGTCACTTTCTTTCCAAAGACTTTTCAAGGCTATTAATGGTTTTTTTTCGTGTAACTATATATATATATATATTTTTTTTTTTATTGTATCGTGTAGCTGGTGAAAAAAAATACTTCCAGATATGTAAAGAACAAAGAATCTTGGAAAGTCCTTGAAAAAAATATTTTTACCAGTTGTTAGCCTTTTTTGATTCTCATTTTAGGCAAAAAAACATTGTTTACGTCATCATGCATAATTCGATACGTAGGTGACCATCCTGTATAGCGCTCTTTGTGAGCTAACGACGACCATAACGACGGGACTACAGTCGTCCATTATACGTCGATAATTATTACACTTGTCCCGTTTTTTTTTTTTTTAATCTACTGCATTAACAAACGCGTGTGCTACTGAAAAAAAAATCGAAGGGACATGCTTAGAATGAACGGTAAATCGAGTTTCGAATATCGGACAATTTACTGGCCAATTAGATGGTACGACAAGAGAGATGTTTTTGTGCCAACCAACAAGAAAAATTTCCAAACTCGAGAAATAATACGCGCGTAGTCGACTGTAATTATTCGATGGGAGCAGTTGATAAAAGTGACATCGAATCTACGAGGAAAACCATCAAATGGTACAAAAAGTTTTTCTTTCCTACGTTGGACGTATCAGTTTGGAATTTATATCGTTTGTGTGAATTCGAAACAAAAAGAGACACTTCGATCGTCGACTTTCGCCTGAACGTTGATGAGACGAAAATTTTGCAAAAGTATCGCGGTGACAATTTTGTTAACCCCTTTGCGCTGGCAACTGGTTCACGGACCATAACGAGTGACCAAACCGTGCACAATAATTCGTTGCTTTCTTTTTGACCGCCGTCGGTACGACATCACTGGATAGAAATTGCTAAGTAATAAATTTATCATTTGTCGTTGCCCAAGTTATATTTAAATATACTTAAAACTGAGAAAATTTTGCAATATTGGGATAAAAAATTCACGACGTGCGTGGCACGTCATACCAGCGCAAGAGGTTGAAATTATTACCAAGTCTTTGGATAAAAATCGCCTCGTGCCGACTGCTAGACATTTCCCTTCGATTTGTACCGGTAGTCGTGATCAAAAGAGCGCAGCAAGAAAATGCGTTGTTCGTTCCAAAAATGACAAACGACGAGAAAGTAACTGTTGTAAAATTTACTACGTAGGTTTATGTATTTATCCTCGTTTTGAAATATTTCGTACTAAAATCGTTGAACAATTTTATAAAGCATTGTTAACTATAAAACGCGTTAAGGTACGATATTTCTTCTCACCAATTGATCGCATCGCACGGCAAAATTTAACCGTTTTGCTCCTCCATTCCGGTGGAAGAGGCACAGTGGCCCAAAATGTCGAAAGGGTTAACTTCAAAGTAAAAATAATCGCGTCTACGTGTAGAATTGCCCGCGGAGCTACCGTAGCTTATATAAAAGTTATAAACATCGCGTACGGTATATTTAGACGCATTTTTGCGTATTTCCCCGATAGGTTTAGATAACAGCGGCGGATACGAATTCCACGAGATAGAAAGACAGAGACCAATCTCCTCCGTTTACCTTGCACAAGCAGTTGAAGCATCTGGTGTTGGGGATCTTGTCCACGGTGAAATCTTCTCCCTCGATGTCGCAGGTTTCTCGGCTGCCTGCAAGCAGAAGAGGCCCGCGATCGCCGCGGTGTGACAATGCGAACGACGCGACGCGATCGTATCGATATCGATTACCGCTCGGTGTCGACGATGATCGGTCTGCAATGATCGGCACGTCGCGCAACTCTACTTTACTAATAACTGACACGCGACACGGCCATCGATATATGTATATCCAGTGGGATCGATCGATGCACGCGTCGAACCTCGTGTATTCTACGAGAAGAGGTCGAGAAGAGGTTCGGGCCAGCCTTTTCCTCGTCGCGATGTTAGGCCAGCCGTGTTAGATCAGCAAAGCCATCGCCGCAACGTCCCTTTCCTCGCGCACATATTCCTGCACACTTTAATCCCTTAACCACTTGCGCTTGTAAACGATTGCGGACCATAACGAGTGACCAAACGGTACACAATAACACGTCGCTTTCTTTTTGAACTCGTCGGTATGATATCGTCGTAGATGGATAGAAATTATTGAGAAGTAATAAATTTATTACTTGTTTTATCTCGGTTATACTTAAATATACTTAAAACTGAGAAAATATTGCAACTTTGGGACAAAAAGTTCTCGACGCAAGAGGTTAACCACTTGTGCTGGTAACTGATTGCGGACCATAACGAGAGACCAAACCGTACACAATAACACGTCGCTTTTTCTTTGAACTCGTCGGTATGATATCGTCGTAGATGGATAGAAATTATTGAGAAGTAGTAAATTTATTACCTGGGTTATATTTAAATATACTTAAAACTGAGAAAATATTGCAATTTGGGACAAAAAATTCTCGACGTGCCTGACACGTCATTCCAGCGCAAGAGGTTAAGCATTTCGTTTTACTTTGAGAATGTGTACTGAACGTGCTTAATTATCTCTAGACGACGACGAGTATACTCGACGAAAACACAGTGAATGCATTTGCTGTATGATTGAGTCAAATTTTCTTAGTTCAAAGTCTGTTTGAAAAATTTAATTTTACTGGCATTTACAGAACTTGACAGTTTCTCTTATGAAAATTATTCTTCAATTTCAATTTTTCAATAGTTTTTCTTTTCTTATAGATATAAGAAACCATTAAAAATTCGAAATGTAGAGGAAAGAACTTGAATTTTCATCGGTTCGTAAAAAGAAGTAGAAAATGAAACATTTGGAAAATTAAAGTGATCAGAGATAAGTTCAATTTGTTTTTGCATTGCATCAGATTTCCCCGAACAATTCCAGTTATTTTCAACTGCATACTTTGTTTGTTTCGTGGCCTTGAAATATACTCTGAAATGTGCTAAAATTACAAACGTACTTCACTTTTTTATCTATAAAATTTTGCAGTAAACGCCAAAGGCGAATTTTTTTGTCTAAACGACGAGTATACTCGACATAAACGCTCAAGGGGTTAAACAATCTCTGTAACCTCTGTTTAAATATAACTTCGTTTTCATCGCGAAGAGAAACCCTCGTCGACTCCTCCCGCGGTTACGCTCTGTTCGCGTCTTCCGTTACCTATCTCCTTGTTTCCGGAGCCACCACTCGCGTTTCTCCAGTTTGTCGCATCGAACAATTCTTCCTTTGCGTTCTTCCACATTTCGTCTCTCAACTTTTTCTCTCCTCAAGTTTTCAAGTGTGCAAGAATGCGTGCGAGAAAGAACGCGACGGCGTTGGCGTTCGCACCGTCCGTTTCCTTCGCCTTTTCTTTTCCTCCCCGTGCCCCCTCTGCTCCAGTGCCCTCCCCGTCGCCCCTTCTCGATCCGCTTCTCGTTTCCTTTCCCCTAGTTTCTTTTGTTCTCGCGAGCGCGCGCGCGCTCGCACGCGTCTAGTTCCGTTTCGCGACGACAACGAAAGGAAAAATCGAATTGGAAACGAAAATCGAATTGGACGGAAAGTCCGAGGGAAAAACAGGCGTCGCTCGTGGCGCAGCATCCGCCGCTGTCGGCTGTCGGCGCGATTATACGCAACTCGATTCGATTCGTCTCGTCTCGTCACGTCTCGTCTCGTCTAGGGGAATCGATGGAATTCCTCGTCTGGTCGTCACGAGCTCGAATCAACTGCGTGTGTCGCCGTTTCTCAACGTTTCCCTGTTTCCCACCTGACAAACTCTCCGCGGTTCCTCGAGAACGACACGTCTCTTTCGTCGACGTCGATGGTGACATCACATCGGCGAAACAACTCACCTATTATGCTCTCGGAGGCGGCGCAACGACCGATCGACGAAACGAACGCCAGGCTCAGAACTAGGATCAACAACCGTCTTCTCGTTCTCCTCATGTTCGGCGTTCGAGGTCCGGTCCCCCGCTCACGACGGTCTTTACTAAAAAAGAGAAAAAGAAGAAGAAAAAGAAATGCAAGAGAAAACGTTTTCCTCTTGGGTTTCTCGGCGCGAAATCCCGACGAACGGCGGGGAAAAGCGCGTCGGAGTGGCGCGCGAATTCGGATCAAGGCTGCGGGCACAGCGGCGCGCCCCGCGCCGCCTCTAACGAGCAGTTTCGCCTTCGCCGGAAAACGAACGGAAAAAGTAAGAGAAGAAGAAGAAGAAGAAGAAGAAGAGAGGAACGATCGATGGCGAGAGCGGTGGTTGAGAACCAGCTGGCGCAACAACGTCTATCCAACGATTGTTGTCGTAACCTTCCGGCCATCGGCGTCGGTATATTTGCGCTAGAGCTCCGTATATTTTCACGAGGCCTGCTTCGCTGCCTACGGAATCTTTCTTCGGAAATCCATAACAGCCGGTTTGTAGATGATTCCGAGAAGTTGCGCGCGCGCGCGCGCGCACGCGGCCACTCTGTCCTTCGAGCCCGAGCGAGAAACCGATTTCTCGCGAAACGATCGCGCTCCTCCGCGTGGCTCGCCGCGCACGATCGCGATTCCACGGCGCACGTTGCACGCTTCCCCGGTTGCCGGCGCGACCGAGATTCGCCACTGGAATTCCCCCCCCCCCCCCCCCCAATGGCAGCGAAAGAAACCTCGGACGATCGGCGGACACGCGCGCGCGCACGCCGTGGAAAGTCGAGCGAAATTTTCCGTTCCTCTTCCTTCCTTCTCTGCTCGCGTTCCATCCTCTCGGGCCGTTGCGTCTTTCAGTTTCGTTCGTCGTCGATTATAACGAGAGAGAGAGAGAAGATCGAAAGCTCATTTTCAAGCCTCTCTCTCTCTCTCTCTCTCTTTCTTTCTCGAAGGTAAACAACATTCGCGAGAGGAAAATGGAGAAGAGACGGAGGAAAAAGAAAATATACAAACGGGGTAGCTTGGACTCTTTCTCTCTCTTTCTCTCTCTCTGTCGAGGAGAGACGGCACGAGCTGTCGCGTGCAAGCACGCGGTGGCGGAACGACGACGACTACGGCAGCAACAACAAGGAGGAACAGGTGCGTGTGGAACGAGAAGGGCTAGCTGGCGCGCGCGATGGTCGCGTCGGTATGCGAGAGCGCGCCAGCTAAGCACCCGTGCCTCTACCTACCTAGATAACTAGTGGCTCTTTTCGCTCTCGTCGTTTGGCAGTGTAAATCGACGGCTGTGACGGCGTGTAGCCGGTCAAACGGTGAGTAGCCGCAGAGACGCGGCACGGAAGAGAAGAGGAACTGGTGAGAGAAAGAACCGAAACGAAAAGGGAACGACGACGAGAGAGAGAGAGGAGAGGACACGATCACGATCAGCGGGACAAAGCGGACCGCCGCACTGGCGACATCTAGCACCGCGTACTCATTGTCAGCTGTCAAATGGCTACGCGCACAGTTAGTCAATCAGTCAGTCAGTCAGTCAGTCAGTCAGTCAGACAATAATTTTCTCTCTCCCTTTCTCTCTATCTCTCGTTCAGTTTGATCGATCGACCGAGCGAGCACTTCGATCGATCGATACACCCGGTAATCGATTCTCGGTTCGAACGTCGCGGGAGGAGCTGCGAAACTCGCCGACAATCGGATGGGGAGGAAATCGACTTACCGAAATCACCAACGACGAGCACGACCACGATCACGAGCACGACCACTCGATCCGGGTATCGTCACGCAGCCGTGACACTCGGCGCCGACGCGTCGACGAGGCTACTGTCCGTTGGCCGCGATAAATCGAGACTTGGTTCATTTGACGAGCGGGAAAGCTCGAGACTTGTTTCAAACTTGACGTTCTCCCTCTTCTCGTTTGCTTCTGCCTCTTCTCCACTCTACTCCTCTCGTCGAATCTCTGTCACAGACGCGACGACGATATACAGCAGCTCAACGACGACGACAAACAACAAACAAACAACAAACAAACAAACAATAATAAAAACAAGAACACACTCTGTGTCGCAAGCACAACTCTGCAGGAAAATCACGGAGCGCGGAAATAAACGAAACGGAGAGAAAAGAGCACTCTCGGTCGGACGAATGGAAATCCGCTCGCAACCTCTCTCGGCCGACCAACTACCGACGATTCCGCGTCAGCTGCTCGCCGCAGCTGCACTAAAGTTCCGTTCGGCGAAGTTCGATCCACCACCGTGTCGATCGTTGGAGTGTGTGAACGAGCTGCTGGCCGTAGCTGCGTGTTGGACTAGCCAGCCAACGAGCGGTGTACTGCGGGGAAAGGCGACTGGAAATGGCCGGTAGAGTGGTGGCTACGTCGGAGATGGTCGTTGGGACAGTGGCGGAGGTGATGGTGATGGTGGTGGTGGTGATGGTGGTGGTGGTGGTGGTAGTGACGATGACGGTGGCTGTGGCGGTAGAGTAGCAACGCGGGAAGCTGGAGGAACAAGAGCTTGAGAATCAGAAGAAGGAAAAGGAGAAAGAGGAGGAGGAGGAGGAGGAAGAGGAGGAGGAGGAGGTAGTTGCCTCTGATAGAGAGTGGGTATACGCTCGGAGAACCGGTGAAGAGAACGTCGGAGGAGAAACTACGCGCGAGGTTTCGACAAAGAGAAGGAGAACGTTCCAACTTCTCTCTCTCTCTCTCTCTCTCTCTCTCCTATCTTCCTTCTCTCAAACTCGCAAACTCTTATTAGCGCAAACACACTAGCCGACTCGGACTTTTTTTACAGTTTTCGTACGATTGTCGGACGAGACGCGGCGAAACCGATTTCCGTCGACACGGGACAACGACTACTACCGATCTCTCGGCCAGCCGTTGTTGTTCGACGTAGCCAGAGGCAGCCGGCGCGGCGGTAGCCGCGGTCGCGACTGGCCATGCACCAGTCGCGATAAGATAGACGGCGAATCGGCCGAGAGGACCGCGCGAAAGGTAGAAGCAAGATGGATCGAGACGAGACGAGACTAGAGAAGAAGAAAAAAAAGTTTCCTCGCGTACACCGGCGCAACGAAACGTTCATTTTTATCTTGCTATCCCCCCCCCCCCTGACGGAGGAAGAGGAGAGAAGAGAGGAGAGAGGCTATCACGCGCGTCCCTATTATGATCGGAATGCTGGAAAATGCCGCTCGTCCGCTCGGCCCCAAACTCGATACTCGGACAGAGAGAGAGAGAGAGAGAGAGAGAGAGAGAGAGAGAGAGAGAGAGAGAGAGAGAGAGAGAGAGAGAGAGAGAGAGATCGGTTCGTATTCTCAGCTGATCACGGGCCACCGGGGACCGCAACGACCCCTCGAAAGGCGCGCGCGCACGGTCACCTATCGAAATCCGGCCGTTCTATCGACGACGTTGCTCCAATTCGATAAATCCTATCGGCTTGCCTCCGTTCGACGACAACACGCGCGGTGATATTACCAATGTGTACCAGTTTCATACTACCGATTCCATAAACTTCTAAACGACGACTGGTCGAGTTTACCGGACCGATTCGAATTGTCACCGGTTTCCTCTCGGTTTCGACTTGACCGTGAGACGACGAAACAGAGCGAGAGAACTCTGGCGGACACTACGTCGTGGCCTATTGCACGTATCTACGTACCGAAGATGTTTCTTTCTTGCTGCCCTTGCCACACACACACACACACACACACATACATTTCTCTCTGTTTCTCTTGTACACACTCTCACTCTCCGTGACTCGAGCGCATCTCGACGATGCGAGGTATTTCACGAGCGGACATTCTCGTAACGAGTACCTACCTACCTATCTACCTACCTACCTATCTACCTACCTACCTACCTATCTTGTTAGCTTTCGTTCGTGGAAGCGCAGCTGGAAAGTCACGCTGGAAAGAAAGCTAGAAGATTGTTGGATCTGGAAGCACACCGGCTTCTGTGTACTCTGGTGCCTCTCGTCGCGACTTTTTACCACGACTTTTCCCCAGCGTCGATCTTTCGTCATCGCGACGCTGAATAATATCGCGATCGACAAGTTCGTTTCGTTGCGCGTGCGCCCGCCAGTCGGGGGGGGGGGGGGGGGGGGGGGGGGGGAGGGCACAAAGCGAAAGAAGGAAGATTGATGAAACGGTAAGCGCGCGGTGAATCGAATCAAAACAGGGGAAAGAAATGACGGCAGAGTAAATGGGGGAGGGGCCGTTTGATTGAAACAATAGAAATATTCATAAAAAAAGCGAACAAATTTATATTATGTGTAATACAACAATAACAATTAAGAATAATGTACGTGTAAATAAATTTAATAGACAGAGTTTGCTAAAATTTTTGTAAGAATAATAAAAATATCACGAACAAATTTACATGGAATAGAAACAACCAAAAATGATGTATATAAATAAATAAATAGACGAATGATGTATATAAATGATGTATATGAATAAATTTAATAGATGAATTTACTAAAATTTTATGAAAACAATAAAAAAATTACACTAAAATAAATACATATATATATATATAAATAAAAATCGGAAAATGATATGTGTAAACAAATTTGACAGATAAAATTGCTAAAATTTTATAAAAACAATGAAAAGATGAACAAATTTATATTACATATAATAATGTAAATATATTACAATAATGTATTTTAACATTAATTAATAACCAAAAATAATGTATGTATAAACAAATTTACTAAAATTTTATAAAAACGATAAAAACACCATACTAATAATGAATAAGTTTATATACAATAATAACAACCAAAAATAATGTATGTATAAATAAATTTAATAGACAAATTTACTAAAATTTTATAAAAACGATAAAAATACCATACTAATAATGAACAAATTTATATACAATAATAACAACCAAAAATAATGTATGTATACATAAATTTAATAAACAAATTTATTAATATTTTATAAAAACGATAAAAACAACATACTAATGATGAACAAATTTATATACAATAATAACAACCAAAGATAATGTATGTATAAATAAATTTAATAGACAAATTTACTAAAATTTTATAAAAACGATAAAAACACCATACTAATGATGAACAAATTTATATACAATAATAACAACCAAAAATAATGTATGTATACATAAATTTAATAGACAAATTTACTAAAATTTTATAAAAACATCATACTAAAATAAATACATATTTATATATACATCTATATATATATAAAAATAAATAAAAATTGGAAATAATATGTGTAAATAAATTTACTAAACACACATGAATTTACTAAAAATTTTATAAAAAACAATCATACTAAAATGAACAAATTTATATTACTCATGATACAATAATATATATATATATATATATATATATATATATATATATATAAATAAAAATCGAAAATAATACGTGTGAAATAAATTTGACAGATAAATTTATCGCCCGCTTTTGCTTTCTTTCGCGGAACGAGCGCAAGGTCGCGCGCGCGCAATACACAGGAATTTCTCGCTGCGTGGAGATCCATCCGATTCGTTGGAAAGTACCGTTCCTCGTACGGAGGAGGGCCAATCTTTGTCCAAATGCTCGAACAAACCAGACCATTAGGGAGCACCGGGCCGACTATACTCTTTGGCTATGGTCGATCGCTGTTATCCGAAAGCGAGTCGCCGTATCGCGACTCGTATCCTGCCGCCGGAGGTATCGTATCCTGCTGCTCGCGGCCCGATCGCGTCCACTCTGCGGAGACTAGAATCCGCGGGGGGGGGGGGGGGGGGCAAGCGCGATACCGCGGCAAGGTCGTTGGAGAGTAGTGCGCGCACCGACCGAACCATCATACTTTGCTTTCGAGTTCGTCGTCGTCGTCGACTTCCGCGTTCGCACCCCATCTTCAATTTGTCTCTCGCTTTCATCCTCGCGAAAGAAACCTCATACACGCACGTAATGTACAAGTTTCCTAGTAGCTCGTTTGTGCCGGATCGGATCGATAGCGTTTGTTTCAGCTGACAAAATAAACGAACGCGCAAACGATGAACAGACGCTTCTCACGACCTTCGCGAAATATCGCGAGGGGCAGCGTCGTGGAATCGACAGAAGAAAAAAAAAAAAGCGAAATTTATTTGTTCTCTCTCTCTCTCTCTCCAGATCGTACGACGCTATTCTCAAATTCGTAAATTTCAAAGTCGTAGTAGTTTCTACGTTTCTCGTTTACGATCGCTTATCGAGAAGATAAAGTTCGCCGAAAGCGAGATGGGCCCGAGGTGAACTCGACCGGAAATTCCCGGGAGTTTTTCCCAAAAGTGACTTTCTCTTTTACGGGGCGAACAGGCTGTAAATTTTGGTCGAGGGTCGTCATTAGCGAGGCCGGGTCATTAGCGGCTATCTCTCGGTTCATCTCTCTTTGGACCTTCGTCAACCCTCGTCGTTCGAATGATTTTCCTCGAATCTCTCTCGCTGGTCACCAATCTCGGCTCAACCGAGACCTCTCGACCATGATTTATGAATCCGTTGGCCGCTTTCTATCGGATTTTGCGACGCGCGGGAAAATGGAAGAAGAAGAAGAAGAAGAAGAAGAAGAAGACGAGGGAGAGGACGATGCGTTGAATGCCACCTGGTCAGGTGGATGGACCTCTCCGAGAAAGAGAGGCAAATGGGTATTTAGGGTAGGAGAGCGGAGAAGCGAGGTACATAATTGGTCGAAACGAAAGCCCTCTTCTGTGAGAGAATTCTAACCGCGCGCACCCCCTCTTCTACCCCGCGGCGGTTAGTCGGTTTGGCTGCCTCGTTATCCCTGATTACTGCTTTCTCTTTCCTCTTCTCGAGAGAGAACTCCATTGGTGGTCCCCAAGGGGGGTTCAAGAATTTAGCGAGGTGGTCCCGCTTTTAAATCGTTGCGCCGCGCCGCATCAACTTCTCCCTCTCTTTATCTCTGTCCCGCTGTTTCTTTTTTCGGGTTTGTCCTCCCTGCCCGTAGTTCTCAAAAAGCCGAGAAACAAAATTCCTCGAAAGTAATCTCCGATCCTCGTTAACTCTCCGTCGTTGTTTAACCCGCTTGCCGTGGCGCGGACCATAACGAGTGACCAAACCGTATGCAATAAATCGTCGGTATGATATCACTGTAGATAGATAGAAATTATTGAGAAGTAATAAATTACTTGTCTTGCCTGGATTATATTTAAATATACTTAAAACTGAGAAAATGTTGCAATTTTGGGACAAAAAATTGTCGACGTAAGAAGTAAGTACCACTTGTGCTGGTAACTGACTGCGGACCATAACGAGTGACCGAACCGTATATAATAAATCGTCGCTTTCTTTTTGAACTCGTCGGTATGATATCACTGTAGATAGATAGAAATTATTGAGAAGTAATAAATTTATTACTTGTCTTGTCTGGATTATATTTAAAGTACTTAAAACTGAGAAAATTTTGCAATTTTGGAGCAAAAATTTCTCGACCTGCGTAGCAAGAGGTTAACCACTTGCGTTGGTAACTGATTGCGGACCATAACGAGCGACCAAACTGTATACAACAAGTTGTCGCTTTCTGTTTGAACTGGGTGGTATGATATCACTGTAGATAGATAGAAATTATTGAGAAGTAATAAATTTATTACTTGTCTTGTCTGGATTATATTTAAAGTACTTAAAACTGAGAAAATATTGCAATTTTGGAGCAAAAATTTCTCGACCTGCGTAGCAAGAGGTTAACCACTTGCGTTGGTAACTGATTGCGGACCATAACGAGCGACCAAACTGTATACAACAAGTTGTCGCTTTCTGTTTGAACTCGGTGGTATGATATCACTGTAGATAGACAGAAATTAT